TCCTTCGACTTCACAAAGGAGGAAACTGAGGCTCAGAGAAGTTGAAATCCCACCCAAGGCTGGCCTGTCTCTGACTGCCCTGGGCAGTGTAGAGGTGTGGGCACGTGGACTTGTGTGTTTAGAGTCTCTGCCCACTGCCTAGCCGGAAGAAGAAACCTCTCAAGTAAACAGAGCCTCCTGGGCAGGGCCTCCACGCTGGCCCCTTCGACTTCACAAAGGAGGAAACTGAGGCTCAGAGAAGTTGAAATCCCACCCAAGGCTGGCCTGTCTCTGACTGCCCTGGGCAGTGTAGAGGTGTGGGCACGTGGACTTGTGTGTTTAGAGTCTCTGCCCACTGCCTAGCCGGAAGAAGAAACCTCTCAAGTAAACAGAGCCTCCTGGGCAGGGCCTCCACGCTGGCCTCCAGCTGGTCCCTGGCCTCCCTCCCAGCTCCCACCCAGCTCAGCCTCTGCTCTCTTTATAGATGCCATTGGCCTGCAGCCAGATGCCCGCGGTGTGGCCACATCCCTGGGGCTCAACGAGCGGCTCTTTGTTGTCGACCCACAGGAAGTGCATAAGCTGGTAGGGCCAGGCGGGTTGCCAGAGCCTAGGGAGTTTTGGGCAACAGGGTGGGCTCTAGGGGAGGGCTACAGGGAAGAGAGGGAGGTGCTGGGCTCAGGTTACTGCTGGGTCTTCACGGGGAAGAGGAAGGAGTGGTCTCAGCATCTACAGAGATCCCAGAGAACGAGGAGCTACCCTAGCTAGAGACCCATCAGGGACATGAGGAGGAGTTCCAGCATGGGGAAGCTGTCACTCAGATGACCCCTTGGGAGACCCCATCTTCCAGCTGCCATGGCCCCTGGAAGCCCCCTTCCCCTTTGCAGGGCCCTTGTTGTCTACGGTCCTTCTGATTACAGTCAGAGTATCTGTCCCAGGGCCTCTCTTCTGGTTCTACCCCTGAGCACTCTTCCCCTGCAGACCCCACACCCTGAGCAACTGGGACCCACACTGGGCTCTACTGAGATGCTGGACCTGGTAAGTGCCAAGGACCTGGCAGGCCAACTAACAGACCACGACTGGAACCTCTTCAACAGTATTCACCAGGTACACAAGGCAGAGTTTCAGAGGAGGGTGTGAGCAGTGTACCAGACCTGGCAGACTGACCTATCCTCTGCTCCATTCAGGTGGAGCTGATCCACTACGTGCTGGGCCCCCAACACCTGCGGGACGCCACCACTGCCAACCTGGAGCGCTTCATGCGCCGCTTCAATGAGCTGCAGTACTGGGTGGCCACAGAGCTCTGTCTCTGCCCCATGCCTGGTCCCCGGGCTCAGCTGCTCCGGAAGTTCATCAAGCTGGCGGCCCAGTGAGTGCCTGCTGGGATGGTAGGATGTGTGGGGATGGTGGAGTGGAGGGATAGTGGGATGTGTGGAGACAGTGGGGTGTGTGCCAGTCTGTGAGCGGCCACCCTTTCCCTGCCCACTGTGTTGCCCAGTCTGCCCTCCTGTTGTCCCTGGGTCCCGGGAGCTTCTGCCCTCCCTACCACCCACCCTGCAGAGGCAGCACTGGGGACATGGCTGCTTCTCCTGAGGGTGTCTGGGTCTTCTGCTTGCAGCCTCAAGGAGCAAAAGAATCTCAACTCCTTCTTCGCAGTCATGTTTGGTCTCAGCAACTCAGCCATCAGCCGCCTGGCCCACACCTGGGAGGTAGGTGCCAGGAGGACCCAGTGCTGGGGCCAGGCCTCTGCTTTCCTGGGGCGCGTCTTGGGTGGGGCTCCCATTCCTGCCATGGCCCCTCACCTGCCTCTCCTCCACAGCGGTTGCCACACAAAGTCCGGAAGCTATATTCTGCCCTGGAGAGGCTGCTGGTGAGTCCAGGGCCCATATCCTCCTGAACCCCAGCTCATAGCCTCTCAGTACTCTGTCTTCCTATCCTCAGTCACTCTCAGGGTTTCCAAAGCCCACTCAGGGCCTTGATCCCTTTGGTCTGTGGTTGTGGGAGCTAGTTGAGGGTGAGGTGTGTGGCATGATGGGAGGGGCCTTGTGCTGTGCTGTACCCCTCAATATCCCTGTAAGGGGCATTTGCTCTGCATGTGAGACCCCTGGTGAAGACTAGGGCAGACCTAGGTGTGTCCTAGGTCTGAGATTCAGGGGGGATTCTGGCCAAACTTCAGCTGTTGTGCCCAAGGATTCAGGCTGATGGCCCAAAGATGGAGTGGGAATTCCTTAAGATTGTGAGAAGATCCCTGTGTGCCAAGGTGGGAGTCCATGGCCCCTCCAGTACCCTCAAAGAGTTTGAAAGCCAGACTTGCAGGACAAAAGATGAGGACAGAGTTAGAAGCTGAACCTCCTGGAATTTTTGAAGGTTTTATAGTATTCAAGAAAGACAAGCACCAAGGTGTTATTAGTACAACCCTGGGAACTCTCAAGAAAACAGGTCATCTCATGGGGCTCAAGCGCTTCAGGGAAACCTACCCACCAGAGAGACAGACTCAGAGAGGCTGAGAGGGGCTTCCCAGAAACCTCAAGGCCTCCGTGATTAATTACCATGAAGATTTCCCTGGGGAACCATGGAAGCCAGGCCTCATCCCTCTCTGACCCACCATGAAGCTTACTTCAGTGAAATGCAGGCAAAGGGGAGGCTGGATTAGAGCCTCTCGATGTGGCCCTGAGGGTGGCCCCTTCCACCTCCCGGGGGGCGTCTGTGGTGCAGGACCCCCCATCAGAGTAGCTTCTTCCTTCTCAGGACCCCTCATGGAACCACCGTGTGTATCGATTGGCACTCAGCAAGCTCTCCCCTCCTGTCATTCCCTTCATGCCCTTGCTTCTCAAAGGTAGGATCTGTGCTGTCCTTTCTGCCTCCACCCCGGGCCTGTTTAGATGTAGTCCCACTGCTCTCCGATGATCACAGCTGAAGTGCTGACACCCAGGGAGCACAGAACTGACTTAGGCATTCACAGGCTAGAAGAGGGGTTGGGACGGGAGTGTGATGGCTATGTTGGAGGCAGTGATCTGAGGCCCAGAAGATCCCAGGGACTTGCTGTGGCTCAGAGGTGGCTGGAGGCTGAGGGCCGCCCGGGTGGGATAGGCACCAGGCTCCTTGTTGGTCCCTCACCTTTCTGGGCTGCAGGGGGAGAAGGAGTTTGGGGACCTATGAGCAAAGTCATCCCTTTGCAGACATGACCTTCATCCATGAGGGAAACCACACACTAGTAGAGAACCTCATCAACTTTGAAAAGATGGTGAGTCCAAGGAGCGTGGGCTCCTGCCTCCATGAGGGTGTGGGCTGCCAATAGGGCAATTGTCTGTGAAGGGGCAGGGATGGGAGGTGGCTGAAACTTGTTATAAGTGATAGAACCCGAACACACGTATGGTGGTGTAACCCCAGCACACAGGAGGCTGAGGCAGAAAGATACTGAGTTCAAAGTCACCCTGGGCTGAAGAAAGACCTTGTCTCAAAAAATTAGAACTGAGTATCTACTGCTTAATAGCCCCTGCCTTATTCTATTGCACACTGGAGGGTCTGTTCTCTAATAGGGCTACTGGAATTAGGGCCTCAAATATCACAGCATTTAATAAGAGGCCCTTTCCAGTCCCCTTTAAGCCCTTTCTCATCTCTGTCTTCTGGCCTCAGCTTGGTTTCAATTGGGCCTCTGGGTGTGCTTGGGTGAAACAGCTATGACCCCATCTCTTACATCCCCCTAGTCCCTATGAACATGATTCAAAGGGAGATTGACTCCCAGCTTCCCATATCCAGGCCAGGTTCTGGGCCCTCAGGCCAGATCTTATGTCTTTGTGTTGCCTGCAGCGAATGATGGCCAGAGCTGTGAGGATGCTGCAGCACTGTCGGGGCCACAGCATTGGTGAGAAGAGGTTCCCCTGGGTGGGAGCCCCTCACTGTCCCCAGGGAGGCGCAGCACGGCCATCTCCCTGACTCCCACCTCTCACCCTGCCCAGTGCCTCTCTCACCACTCAGAAGCCGAGCTTCCCACTTCCACGAGGACAGCCAGGTGTCAAGGATTTCCACGTGTAAGTGGAGGGACGGGGGTAGATGCTGACAGAGGTTGCCATAGCTGGAATTTCCTGACCGGGTGCCAGGGATAGAGCGAGGCACTTATGTACAATATGTTGGCAACTCTGTAAAACAGGTGCCTCTGCTAGCCCAAGTTAAAGAGGTGGTTAGTGGTGGGGCTGAAGCCCTAGTGCCTTGGCTCCAGCCTGTGTGTTTCTTTGAACCTGAGTCATATGAGGTTAAGGTGTAATCATAATCTGTGGTTCATATCACAGTGTGTCCTGTGTTCATAGATACATGCATCCTGATAACATAATGAGCATCTCTTGACTCAGTCCAAGTAGAACACAGATGATATCTTGTATCTCCCACTCTCTACCCACAGCAGCCACTATCTTGAATTTTGACTTAATCACATTTATTTATTTATTTATTTGTGAGACAGAATCTTGTCTTGTAGCCTAGGCTGACCTTTATCTCAAGATCTTCCTGGGTTCTGGGATTCAGGCTTGCACCATATCCTGTGCTTTTAATTTTTTAAAATAGCCTTATCTCATACCCACATCCTTCACATATATTACAACAAACTCCTTTTTTATTTTTCACTTAAGGTTTTATTTTTAGTTTCTGTGTGTGTGCATGTGTTGGGTGCATGTGTATAGGGAGGGGTGCACGCGTGTTCGTGTGTGTGTGTGCATATGTGTGTGTGTGTGTGTGTGTGTGTGTGTGTGTTGATCAGAGAACAACCTTGGATGTTTCTCAAACACCAGTCCCTTTTTTTAAGACAAGATCCCTCACTGGCCTGGAACTCTATCCCCTATCCCTGAGCACTGGGATTACAAACTCTGGCCACCATGTTGCTGTCTTTCTATAACTCGGGTTCTGGGGACTGATCTCAGGTCCTCACCTTTCAGACTGAGCCATCCATCCCGCCCTGTTTGCTCCATCCTCCCGACTCAGCCTCTGAAGCGCTGGGATTATTGACGTGGGCCACCACACCCAGATTCTTTTAGTTACTTTCTGAACTAGCAAAAGGAGTCCTCTGCTAAGATTTGGGGATCTTTTTTTCACACTTCTCAATCACTGCACTATTCTGTCCCCCCAAGTCTGGTAGGGAGAGATGCAGGGTCAGTAGACTGGTGTTGAAAGACAGTAGGGTGGGGAGTGGAGGCAGGAGAGCCGAGGCTGCTCCCTGGGGAGGGCAGGAATGTGTTCAGTGGAGGAGCGGCAATGCCTGCCTCCCTGATGCTCTCCTTTCCACCAGGCTCCGAGCAGTCCCTGAGCACCCGGAGTCCAGCCAGCACCTGGGCTTATGTCCAGCAGCTGAAGGTCATCGACAACCAACGGGAACTGTCACGCCTCTCCCGGGAGCTGGAGCCATGAAGAGATCCGGGCTGGAGTAGGCGCTTCCCACCAGGAAAGCCAGGGCTGGCCGGGCCAAGAGGCCCACAAGCCAGCCACAGCTGGGCAGGGCTCTCCACCGAGTGGACTCAAGGCCCTGGAGTGGGCAGTTTGGAGGCAGCGGTCCCCTGTGATGATTGTTGGCTAAGGAGGTCTTTGGAGTGAAATTGAGCTGGCCCCAAGGCCAAGGAATGGGGGATGTTGAGGCCCTGGAGTGGGTGGGAGAGCCGGGAGGCGCAGGACTTCGCGTTCAATAGAGAGCTCACCTCACCAAGTTTCCTGCAGCTTCTGTACTTTGTGTTGTGCTGCCCAGCAGTTGCCAGGCCCTGTGCTTGGCACAGGGACCAGACAGCTTGCATACGTACCGCATGTGTGCACAGGGTAGAGCCTTGCCTGGGTTGGGAAGGGGACGCCTGCTTTTCTTTCCACACATTTGAGATAAACAGCTGGGTGTGTACAGGGCCTGGAATGGTGGTCCCTGAGGAGCTTTACTGTTCCATAAATTAACAAAGATACGTGTGTTCCCACTCAGCCTGGGGTTGCAGCAGGGAAGGCCCTGTGCAGGAGATTGCTCCCACTGGCAGCAACCCCGCTGCCTCAGTTGGGACTAGGGCTGGGCCCCAAGAAAGCTGACTAGTGCCCAGATGGGCCACGATGCTGTCCCAGGCACCCAAGGGACCATTAGCTCTCCGCAAAGGAGAATGTGACGGTCCAAATGTAGCTAGCATCTTCTACATTCCTGTCCTTAACCCCAGTCTCTTCCTCTGCCCTTGATCCTGTTGGGTGGTGTGTGTGCTGAACAGAAGGATTGGGACAGATACACGGAGGCAGAAGACATTGAGGCCTCACAGTTTTGCAGGTTTACGGATTTGTCTTTGGTGTTGAGTGTGGCCCTGCACCCTCTTCTTGGAGGTTAAGGTCCTCTCTTCAGCACCTGCCTGGGCTGAGTTTGTGCCTGGAAACTTGAGGCAGGGACCTCACCCTCTCTGCAATCTTTGCCATGGAATCTGGCACATGGTCTGACCTGATCCTGTGTGGACTCTAGTCCAACAGGACCCTTGGGTGTCTGGAGGAAGCATGCCTCTACCTCAGGGAGACAGGTGGCTGGTGTAGCCCCATACTTGCTCCACAGGTACAGCAGTCAGGACCAGGTTCGACACACACCTCCCTCCCCTGTCCTCCACACTGCCAGGCTCCTCAGCCCAAGGTCACAGAGGTGTGTTAGCTTTCCTAGGAAAAATTTAAGCATTTGGCAAGGAGACAGCACAGGGGCAGGTCTAAGGAGCCTGAGCACGTCAATGAGTGTTCTTTGCCTTCATTTCTCCATCTGTGAGGTGGGTATGATATATGGCTGTTAGTGACAAGGCTGTAGTTCTTGCCAGAGTGATTGTCACAGTCTTGTGTTTGTGGCCTGGAGGATAGGCCACATCACCTGAGTGAAGACCAAGGTATCTCTCTGGAGGGAATCAACTGGCAGAGGTGACCAAACCAGTTTCCTTGCCTGTGGACAGGGAGGTACAGAAGCATCCAGAGCTGAGCAATTGTGACTCCAGGCCCAAGCCTCCCTGAGTCAGGAGTCCCCGACGCTTTCTTGTGTTCTGAGCCCTTCGTCAGTGTTCCAGGCATGCCATACCAGTCAGTCTCTGCCCATCCTCACAGACTGCAGAGTGAAACCAGCCCAGCGTTCTGAAAGACTTGGGGCCTTCGTCTGTGTAATTTTGTTTCTCTGGTCACACCTACTTCCTGACCAAAATTCTTGGTTTCTCATGGGTCTCCTGCTTTAGACAGTCCTGCAACTTCACAGCTGATCCACCTCAGGCTGCACACTGAGCCTGTTTCGAGATCCTGGAAGGAGAACAGTGCCTTATGCAGATAAGGGACACAGACTTGGGTGGCAGAAGAAGTGGAGATACAGGTCACCACAGGAGGCCAGGAGGCCGAGGAAGGGCACAGCTCCATGTTGTGGCAGCCTCAAGATGCTCAGGCATGGGGGGTGGGGAGGACTCCTCTCCTGTTCCGTAGTAGCCCAGGCTAGGGAGGGAGGCACCCCTGAGGCCAGGATGGGAGAAGGAATGAATGGGTCTGCTGAGAGGGAAGGTAGAAGGGAGGGAACTGATAGCCGTCCTTTAAAAAACTTATCTAAGGGCTGTGCGTGGTGGCACACGCCTTTAATCCCAGCACTCAGGAGGCAGAGGCAGGTGGATCTCTGTGAGTTCAAGGCCAGCCTGGTCTACATAGTGAGTTCCAGGACAGCTGGGGCTACAGGGAGACCCTGTCTCAAAAAGACCAAAAAAACCCAAAACAAAATAAAACAAAACAAACTCTAAAAGAAAGTAGAGCACCGAGGTTGTGGCTGTGTGTGTGTGTGTGTGTGTGTGTGTGTGTGTGTGTGTGTCTTGTAGGGAAAAGCAGAATGGAGGGGATCATTGCACGTGTCCATCACCCTCCCCCTTTCCCTTTCTGTTCTTCTGAGGGCTACAGCCTTAGGCTGGGCCAGGCTTGGACTGAACCAGGGAAAGTAATATCTCTCTAACAACAGGCCATTCACAGTGAAGGGTTAGAAATGCTTGGGGAGTTAGGGACTACCCTTGTCCTCCAAGCCTCATTACCATAGGACGACCAACCCAAGCCTGTGACCCAGCTTGGAGTTAGAACCGGGTAGGGGCAGAACATTTTCACAGCCTTTCAGTTCTGTGTCCCTAACAGCTCTGGGTCAGAGACTGTTCTTCTTCCCAAGCAGCAAAAATTAGACATTTTAGTGCTGCTGTTAGTCACAAGATTTATCATGATAATAATAGACTGAGATTTGAGTCCTGTTTCTGCCCCTTTCTGTGTCATACTTTCACATCTATTATCTTATTTTTATCCTAAAGCTAGAATAGGAACTACAGGTTATTTTTACCCTTGTTTCTTAGTCAAAGGAACTGAGGCACAGAGAGATTTGCCTAAGGTCACCTATCAGCTTAATGATGGGGTGGCTGGGGGAAGCAACTCAATGAATGTCAGCCGTGTCCCTGGCCTGCCCACTGTCACCTCCCTGAACCACATTTCCTTCTCCTCTGGGAATAGCCCAGGCATGGAGTCCTTTCTCCCTGTCTCCATTCTCAGGACAAAACACTAACTAAGGGTCTGGCAGGGGCTGTGTGAATAAGACAATCAATCACCTTGTCCTTCATGGAGGATCCTCCCAAGCCCGTCAGAACAGGAAGATGTTTCAGGGTCAAGTTCAGAGGGTAGTGAAGGCCTACATCTGCCAAGACTCACTGCTCACTCCCAGAGCTGAGGCCTAGAGCTGCTTCCACGTTGAAATACAGGCTCAGCTGGGGCCCAGAGTTGCTCCCACATTGAAATGTAGGCTCACGACACCCCTCTCTGCACACAGCCTGCAGTGCTGTGCCTCTTGTTGAGGACGCTGTCAGTTTTCTGATTCAAGCTGCCTGAAGTTCAGAGAGGTGTGGCCGCCAGTGACTGGAGCCTACCCTGATCTCTCTGCTGTTCATAATTCCTCCCTCCCTTCTATACCATCTTCCATAATTCATGTGTAAGTCCTGCCCCATAAACAGAACTGATCTTCTAGGGCCATTAGCCTGTCTACCCACGTCTGTCCACTTCCCCACACTGATCTAGGCATCCTTCTCTCGGATCCTGGACCCTCTACCTGAGCTGGTGGCACCTGAAGTGCTTACAACCAAGGCAGGTAGTTCTGTCCCTCCTACTGCTGCTGATGCTGGGAAGCCGGGCTGACTCAGCTGCTCGGGTGTGTCTTCTCACCGAGGCCCAGGGGGCCTTCCTGGAGCAGTGGCCTTGATGGAGTGGGAGGGGGCTGCTCCTGGGGGTGGATGGATCACCAAGGAAGGAGCTTGGCCACCCCCAAAAGCAGGAAGAGAGCTGAGCTCAGTGTTCTGGGAGTGGTGGATTCCAGTTGCTGTACAGATGGAGGCTAGCCAGTGCAAACAGGGAGCCAGCTGCTTACAGCCTTGACCCACCACGCGTATTTTGCACTTGGCACTTGAAACTGCTTAGGGTCTCGATTTTCTCACTGGGGCTGAGTCATGGGCACCCATAGCTGCTTCTGGGTTACTGAATGGAGGCTGTGGTGGGCTTTCCTGGCACTTAAGGGGTCCTAGCCCTGGAGAGGTAGAAAGAACAAAGAGTGACTTTTTGCTAGCTGGGTTCTTACTGACGTGGTAATGGGGATCAAACCCAGGATCTTTTGCTTCTATGCAAGCATTCTACTACCGTTAAGCTGTACCTCTAGCTCAAAAGAACATTTAAAGCCTATGCTACTACCCAAATTTTCTTACTAACTAGAACTTGAGGCAGCCCAGGATAATCACATATAGGAGGCAGAGGATAGGTCCCAGCAGTCACATGGCCTCCGGCGAGCCCTTTTTCTCCTTGGGCCTCAGTTTCATCACTGATAAAACTGGAAGTGCTTGGAGTTAGGTGGCAGTCTTCCTGTCCATGACTTAGGCAGTTCAAGGCAGGTTTCATAAGATGAAGAGGTGCAGACCCCTTCATGTACCTCCCTGTGGTCACTTCCAGTCAGGACTGCTCATGAAAGGCCTGCCTCCTGCAAGATCAATTTTCTTCAAAGGGCTGTCAGTCTTTCCTATCCCTAAAGTATTGGCCTCCCCACGCCCAGTCTGCTTGGGTGCTTGACAGCTTGCTTCTACTCTTTTAGCTCCAGCTATCTATAGAAGCCTTTATTATGTAGATGTATAATCTGGGAACATTCTAATGAATATTTCTAGTAGTCACTTGTGTTAAGGTTCAGATAGCCCCGCCCCCTCACCAACAGGGCCTCACAGACCTCACTAGCCCCTGAGAAAAGGGAACCGAGTTGATAAGCACCTTGGTTTTTGAAGTCAAGAGAAGCAGACTTTTCTCCACTGTTTGGCCAACACAGCAGGGTTCCCCTTTGATCTCTAAAGAGGGCAGGTTTTAACAGTCCTGCTCTCCCACTTCCCCCTGCCCAACTTTAAAAAAATATATCTTACCTCCTTCTGCACCCCCAGAGGCCTCCCTCTTAAAAGACCTCAGCTCAAGACCTGGGCAGATATTTTCCCTGCCTGGAAGGGAATCTGTCCCATGTGTTCCTTTGCTAATAAACTCTATTCCGATGGAGTTTTACCTGTGTCTTGGTGCTTTCTCCTGATCAACCGGATTCATCCATGGCCTGCTTTATCTATCAACTTGGAGCTCTGAGGCAATGGTGTTAGGGGAGTGTTCAAGGCAAGGTCCAGGGTGTTTCTTACCAAGGTAGAGCA